GAAGCATTTTCCCCAAATTTTGTCTTTCTCAGCATAAAAAGATCAAAGAACATTGCACAATCCTTGTGTGATTATTATCGTTATTATTATTAGCATCAATTCATGTTGTTCCTTAACCTGAGATCATCTTTTACTTGCTGTAACCATACATAATCTTGTTTTTCTCTCCTGCCTTTGTGAAAAACTGATGCCTTCTGAAGACAAATCCACATTTTCTCTGCAGATATTTCATGCACGTCTCAGCAGAGGACTATCTTACTTTCTTCTACAGATTGTGCACAAGAGCAAAGCCGATAAAAAATAAACTTCAGCAAATATAAACACAGTCAAGATTATATATTTTAGATTTCCATATCTTGCATTTACTACATTGTACGCACCCTGTTTGCTATTGAACTGCCAAAAGCTGCCAGTCTTTGAGTCTCTCATTAAAAGTATCATAATCAGTGCTGAGTTTAACTAATGAATAGTTTTACTTCATGGGCTTTAAACAAGCATAATTATTTCCCAACCACTCCTTTTTTCAGGATGTGTCAAACAAGACAGATATTGTTGAATATTGTGGTGCGTTTCTCAGTTTCTTGCTTGTAATGAGGAAGGTACTTCCAGAACACAGGCTGACTGAGTTGTCGCACAGCCTCATTCCTGGAATTTTTCATGGACTGAACACATCCTTATCTTCTTCACCCTCCCCATGTTTTCCCACTGCCACATCTATCTTTTTCCGTGCCAGAACAAATCCATTTAGGATGGAAAGTAGAATTAGTGTCACGATGACTTTCAACTGGAAACTCTGCATTGCCATCCCTCTGGAAATATACTAAGTGATGGATGCAGGAGGGCGTCTGTTTAGTGGGGTCTATTGCCCAAGGACTATGCAAACATTCTTAAATGTTTATGGAAGCGTATGAGAGCTTTCCGAAAACATAACCATAATGAAAGGATTTTATTGGCCCATTAACATTTATAGCCTGCGTTATTTCCTTTTATAAAACAATGTCAGTCATCTATGCCTATTGCTATAATTTTCCCCATGATGATAGATACTCAGATTAGGACTATTTGCTTCTGCCTCTTTACCTACTGGAAATATATTAGCGACTTTTTCATTTAGGCAGGCTGCTATTTCTCTTTAATTACTTATCTGGGCTTCATCAGAACTCTCAAGAGATTACCATCTGGTTTCAGCAACTTATTGCTGCTCAAATGTCAGTTTTCCCAAGAACCCCTTTACTTATGCAATACTTCTATGATGTTTACATGCATGTTATTTTGCTGCATATCTCACATTTATAGCATACAATTAATTTGAAAAGACCTTGCCTGCTTAGCATCTTGATGTTTTAAAGATGACACATACTTCTCTGTTACCTGAGCTATTTCTATGCTAAAGATCAAGACTTTTTAAAATGTTTCTTTGGAGCAAGACATGCAGAAGTGGGTCCGGCATCAATAGTCAGCATTGGTGGGCAGCTATCAATGCCCACGTCAATTCTGGGGGGCACTTCAGAGTCCTAGAGTACTCTGGTTCCGTTCTTGTTCCTCCTTAATGTTGTCATCTTTGAGAACCAGGCATGTAAGCGAAGACAAGAATACGGAGTGGAAATGTCCTTCTCCACTGGCTCTTTCCCTCTGGGCAGCTGGGCAGATGGGGGCCAGACGGAGAAGACAAGTGACTGAGCAGTGGTGAGGAAAAAAGGACTCACTCAGATTTGGAATGGGTACTGTTTGTAAGGAAAACATTGTGGGGTGGGGGGCTAGCGAAGCACAATCCTACGCCATGGAAAATTTCAGTTAAAGGATTTTCCCAAGATATCAGTATCACAACAACTGGATTTCTTAAAAATTAAAGTAGGTTTATCAGCTAGGTCTGTAGGCTAGGTCCATCCTTTTATTAATTTAAACCATGAAGAATACAAGTTTGCTTGGGCTAACAAGACTGTCAGGATCTACCAAAACTAGGTGTGTCTTCCCAATATAATATCAGATATAGCATTTTGGAATGTCAGAATGTTGACAGTTACCTTTCAGATACATCTTTGGCTATTGGGTGGTAAAAAACCAAAATAAATACATAAATAAATAAAGCTGCTTTGCAAAGCTACATTTGGAAGTGGAAGAGTGATGAGGGAAGTGTTGCTTACCCATCCCTTGTCTGTAATTCCCTCTGTGCCTAGTGTCCTCCCCAAACTCCACTAGGAAAAAAATACAGGAATTCTGTATATTGGCTCCTATGGGGACCATCGAGAGCCAGTGTGGTGTAGTGGTTAAGAGCGTGGGTCTGGGACTCTTCGTTCTAGTCCCTGCTTGGCCATGGAGCCAGCTGGGTGTCTCTGGGCCAGGCACAGACACTCACCCCAACCTACCTCACAGGGTTGTTGTTGTTGTGGGGATAAGACTGGGGGCAGGAGGAGGAGAATGAGGTAATTCGTTTTGAGTTCAGTATAAAAGTAGGATATAAATCTAACAAAAAATAGATAAATCAGCAGAGGGAAGTAGTTTTTAGGATAATCTTTCCCCTATAACTTTTCCTCACTGGATGGAAAAGCATCTTGGGAAGTAATTCTACAAAAGAAGAGGAATGGATTGATCAGGGCATGTGAAGTAGCTCTTCCATTCCCTGCTGTAGCCTTCTAAGACCCTTTTTATTTTTTAAAAACACAGGGAAAAGGAGACATGAAACTATGTCCCTTTGATAAGCAACACATCACAAGATATGCTTTTTCGAGATCTGCCTGCCACCCAAAGCCAGTGCTGAGGGATTCCGATCTTTGATGCCGTCTGCAGCTGCTTCATTATGAAGATGCAGCAGGCTTGTACAAGCCCTTCAGAGCCAATCAAGTACCTCAAACTTCTGAAGGACACTTAGTATAACTTTTCCAGCACAGGGATTAATATATTTGTTGGGGAAACAGTGCAATGTAAATGATCGTGTCTGTAACTAAATGTGCAGGCACTGTCTCCTTGGTGCATATATCAAGAATAAATATATCTGTCTCATTGTCCCAACAGGGGACATGTGCAAAAATACTCCTGAGAAACAAAAGAAACAGATATTTATTTCCCTTGTTAATATCAATTTTTGTTTTGCTAAATGTTAATTATCTCCTTCTAGTCTCTTCAGAGTTTTCTTTAGAGGAAAAATGTCTCTTAAAGGAGCCCTAACAATAATTAAAATCAATAAATCTTGTCACTGTTTAAAAAGAAAGCAAGAGACTCAATCGGCTTCATTTCAACAGTGAAATCCAGATTACAAGTGACTGGTGCATATGCTCCAATTAGCCCCTGGATAAAAGTAGTCACTTCCCTGAAAATTGGCTAAGTTGCTTTCTAAGAACACTTAACCAGTCACAAAACCCACCTCAGATCTTGCTCAAAGAGAAACAGGAAGATTTGGTTCAGAAGAACTGAATGGCAGAGAACACACTTTTAGCAGAGCAACCAGCTTATTTCATCCTGGAAGGATTGCTTGGAGGTCCAAGTATGGAACATGGACAAACTTACTGTGATCAGTTCTGCATAGCTTTATTGAGTGACCATGAGCAAATGTTTTTGCCTTTCTAAAATCTCTCATTTGCAAAACAGCTTCCTCCATAAATATTAACCTTTCTTTCAAGAAACCTGTGTCATTTTGATCAGGTAAGTCCCGGATTTTAAGGAACAGATAGCAAAGAATGTGACTAATGTTCCCATAAAGAGTTAAAGAAATGCTTTCTTTTTCCTTTCCAAAAAGAATTTAAACGTACAAGACTACAAGTCTGGCATACAGAAGACTGTCAGGTCTGAGATACAGGCTATTCCATGTCCAGGGAAGTGTTACAAATCTTCTGCATTCTTCAGGCAGCGGCAGCAAGTCTTCCGGGCTGTCCATAAGGACCACCAAGGGTGTTATGTGCAGCTGTCTAGTCTGCCGTTTCATGTTTTCATTCCTAACTGATGTTGTTGCTTTTCACTACCTGTTGTGAGTTGCTTTGAGTACAAATTCATCAAGACTTGACTCATAAATAGCTAAGCTGCATTTAAAAAATTAGTTTTAGCCAGGCTGGTTCACTGGGGGCTCAGAGGCCAGGCATTCAGGTTTGTTGAATAATCTTAGGGCACTGTAGAAAGACAGCCACAGCCACAGCCAAAGCACAAAGCTGCAAACTTTGAAGAATTTGTAGCAGTGGGATAATACACTTCACCCCAGCACCCCTCCATCCCTAAGATCATTTGCAGATTAAATCATAGAAAAGTTGACACAAGAGCTGTAAAATAAAAACCTGGAAAGTTACTGAGTATGTCATTTAGTGGCAGGCATAAGTAATAGCAAGATTCTCATCTTGACAGCCAATGCACATCCAAAAATTCCAACTGTACAGCCTTCCAAGACTTAGAAAAGCTGCTTGGGAATCCAGACAGACAATCTCACACTCTTGGATTTCAGTTCTATAAATTGCATTATTCCAAAGAGAGGTGCTTGACTTTTAAATGGGAATACTCTGTGCTGCTGTTGAAATCAGGGAGATTTAAAGGTGGTTATCTCTGTCTGGGGAGTCCTATTATTTCCCAGTTAGTTTCATCAGAACAAAATCACATTAAAATCACAGAACCTTGAGGCTGAAATGCCACAGGCCATATCTGCACCGATCCTCAAACCAAAAGCATCTAAACTTTGCCCCACCAGCACCAGCACCATTCTAAATCAACCCTCATAATCAAATCAAATTCCTTTAACTTTCTCCACATCATCACTACTAAATTACAGAACTGTAGTCTCCAAATGCCTGATCAGGCACTTAGCAAGCCTCATTGCAAGGCTCACTAATTGCAAGTCTCCACCATCACAACAGAATCCTGCAGACAGAACCAAACAGATGGCTAAGGCGGGCGAAGGTCCAAGAAAACCACCCATTTTTAAGCGCACAGAGACACCTGATGGGGCAACCAGCCCCTGTAATGGCAAATTTATCGCACACAAGGAGCACCCTTCGTTATTCAGTGCTGTGGTCGGAATTTACCTCGGTTGGAGAGCCCTGCCACATTTGACCCCGAGGAAAGGGAGGACTTTTGCTTCTGTCGTTTCACCGTCATCATCACCTGCTCCTGGACCCTTTGCTTTCCTGTGCCCCTCATTTTCAGCTTGTGATCTGAGGGCAATGCTAGAGTTGAATTGGCCTGATCCTGGAAGCACTCGTATGCCAGTGCTGTTTTCAGTGGAGAGGGAGAGTGAAGCATGATTGCAGAGATGGGGTAGTGGTGAGGTTGGATGTTGCCTGTTGTCCTCTGGAACTTCAAAAGCAAAAACAGCAGTAGCAAAATTTCTTGATCTAATGAAGAGCGTCAGGGAGCCCTCCTTGCCATACGTCCCTCTGCTGACAGCTGCTCTTTCCCCACACTCTGCTCTCCGGTGTGTGAGTGATCAGGCACGCCCTTGGCTAGACTGGATATACAGCCTTCCGTCTAATGTCTGTGCACACACCCACTGCTGTACTTGGGCTGCAGATCCCAAAGCAGCATAAGGCACTCGCCCAGGTGCTGTAGGGCTGCTGGCTGTCTCAGAGCTTCTCTGGAAGTAAGAAGGCAGCCATTGCAGGTGAATGGGGCAGGTAGCAGCTAGAGAGAACAAGGCAACAAAAGTAACAGCTGGAGCAGGGCCGGCTGGAGGCGTTTGGCTGCTGAGGCAAAGCAACAGATCCCCACACACACTTCCACCATTATAGATCCATAGAGAGGACCAACAAAGCCCAGACCACTATGGTGCCTGTCTCATCTTTCCATAACCCTCAGATTCCAAAGAAGTCAGGTGGGACCAGAGATAATATATGCTAGAAGATACAGTAAATGTAGTAGTTTTGTGCATGCTTTGGCCTTCTTCCCCCTTGGTGCACTGACCCACAAATTACTCACATGTGGAAGGGGCTCAGGAAGCATGTGGGGGCAGCTGCCTGGCATCTACTGCCTACGGCAGCTGTCGCACTTTCTGATTTGGAAGGACCAGTCCTGAGCTAGAGAAGGACTTGTGTCCCCTGTAATCATTTTCTTTTTGGCTTTACATGGTTGATTAATAAAACACCACCAACAACAGTCTGAATGGGGATTTGGCCCTCTTGCCAGCTTTCTCTTATTGCAATTTGTTAATATGCTTCCCCCCTCAGTGCACCATTTTTCTCTTTCCTTTCCTTTGCATGATGTCAGTAGTTAGGAATCAGCCATTTATTTGCCAATGCACAAAATAATTTCAGACCTATTGTTTTCAGGGATAAACAAGGTCACTTTTCAGGGGTTTGTGGCTTCCCTGAATCTCCCATCCTATCCAATTACTCTGAATAGAGAAATCTCTCCCCGATAGATTTAGGGTCCAAATTATTGCTTAGGTCACAATGCTATGCTGGAGCATATTGGCTGAAGCATGTTGGGTGTTGTAGGATTTTTTTTTTTGTTGTTGTAAACATGCAGAGGATTGTCCCTTAAGAGGCCAGCAAAACTAGGAAGAATTAGACTGTATCCTACAAGGAAAGAGCAATTCATGAGCAAAAGGTCACAGTAATCTGCCCTTTTAGCTGAAGCAACATTCAAGGCTCATGAATGGCTGGAAAAGCAAGAGGTGATTCTAACAACTTTTCTCAAAGTTTGTGGGATCATATTCCCAGTGCAGACAAAAATTAGTACAGGGCTTCAGTTGCTGCCATGCAGCATGCCGAGTAAGAAAACAGATGAAATGGCTTTTTAGTTGCTCGACAGCAGAGGAGTATGGAATGTCATGATGCAACTGGAGGGGAAAAGCAGCCACAATCCTGAGGTTAAGGAGCAACAACTCTTCAGTGGGCAACTTGTGGCCATCTGGATGTTTTAGACTACAACTTCCATGAGCCCTAGCCAGCATAACCGATGGTAAGGTTGTGTACAGTCAAGGCTATGGTTTTCCCAGTTGCAATGTAAGGCTGTGAAAGCTGGACCATAAGGAAGGCTGAGCACTGAAGCATTGATGCCTTTGAATTGTGGTGCTGGCAGAGACTCCTGCAAGTCCCTTGGACCACAAGGTGATCAAACCAGTCAGTCCTAGAGGAGATCAACCCTGACTGCTCTTTAGAAGGCCAGATACTGAAGATGAAACTCAAATACTTTGGCCACCTAATGAGAAGGAAGGACTCCCTGGAGAAGAGTCTAATGCTGGGAACAACTGAGGGCAAAAGAAGAAGGGGATGGCAGAAGATGAGGTAGCTAGATGAAGTCACTGGAGCAGTCGGCGTGAGCTTAGGTGGACTCCGGGGGATGGTGGAGGACAGCAAGGCCTGGAGGAATGTTGTCCATGGGGTCGTGATGGGTCGGACGTGACTTCACGACTAACAACAACAAGGCCAAACTATCTAGAAGGACTAAGTTGCTTACCACTGAAGTAAGGGCTGTAGCTTCCTTTTTGTAAGTGATATAAGGGCTGTAGCTTCCTTTTTCTTCACTGGCCGGGTAGTTATCTAGTAGTGCACTGAGATTCTCTGCATGAGGCTTTTAACCTCCCACTTTACTGAGGCTTCTGCTTCTAGATTCTTCATGGAATTGAGACTGGCTCTTGACCACATAGTTTTTCCAGAGTTTTTCTTTCACTGCTTTTCTCCATATTACCTTACACACAGCTAGGTGATATATCAGTATAACAGAATTGTACACATGCAGAAGGATCTCATTCTGGTTCATTTGACCATTTCCATACAATAGCACACCTAATGCTATGTAAATGGCAAAAAATGGGAGAAGTTATGGAGGAAGAGGGTTGTGTTGTGTAGAGCATGTGTAAACTACTATATGTGTAGAATCACAAACACACCAGAAATGCTTTGTGGAAAGAAGCCACTGTGTGCTCCTAATCTGAGAACATTCCAGTTCCACAGCCTTCTCTAGAGCAGACCCAGAAATGCCAGTATGTTTGACTCTGTGTGTTGTCAACCTTAGCTATGTGTCTGTTGGCATTACAGATCTTTGTAAAGGCTTTCTAAAAACACACAGCCACAAAAAACCCTGCCTCCAATGGCAAAGTTATTGTTTTTCTGTCTTTTATCTCTTTCCTTTTGATGAATAAAAATAAGCTCTCTACTGCCTAGGAATGGACTTTATTTTTTCAGTAAATATAATCTCCAGAATTGAAGAGATCAAGCTGGGGGAAAAGTTCATAAAACAACATCATCGCTCATGAATGGGTGAGCAAGCTGACAATGAGTATGAGAGCATCAAAGTGCATTGTGTCCCAGTCTGATAATATGCAAAAAGTTTTAAAAATCCTTTTATTCTTGCCTTACCAGTCTTTCCTCTCTTCTATGTTTTCTTGGTTTAGGTACTTATATCCTGAAACTTCATCCCAAAGAATTCTCAGAGCAGCATGTAAAGAGGTGAAAACAATAAGTAAATGGGTTTCCAATGAAGCTAAATGTTGAATTGTTTATTTCAGTAAATTCAGATCCATATAGGCACTCAAAATGAAAAGTTTCTGCAAAATCTACTAGTTCTTATAATTGCAGTATTTACACAGAGGTAGACCTACAAGATAGCATACTTAAATCAACAGGGGAGAATGCATAATTAAAAGTGCCCAGTTGATGCATATATTTATGGAAATGTGCATTAAAATACACTGATTTTTGTTCAAAAGGAGAAAGAACAATGCTTGCCATCTTCAATGGACATGAGTTCAAATGAGCTTCAAGATAGAATCTGGAGAACCTTGATGAGCCTTGAAGTTTTTCTGATTTGTATATGGCCATCTCTAATAGAAATACAATGCATATGATGTGATCATCAAGTACAAGAACATTTCACAGGAAATGAAAGCCAGTATCATCTACTAGATGTATGTGTGTGTTTCCTATTCTACATCTGATCACTATGTATGAATGTGAAAGCATGACAGTGGAGAAAGCCAACAAGCAGAAAATGGATGCATTGCAAACATGGTATTGGAGGAGAGCTCTGCAAATACCTTGGACTGACAGAAAGGAAAACAAGAGGATCAAATCAAACCAGAGCTCTTCCTGGAAGCAAAAGTGAGGAAGATGAGGCTTCAGGTACATCATGAGAAGGCAGGGCTTACTGAAGAAAGTCAAAGGCAGAAGATGAGGAAAACCCACTATGAGATGGCTCCCTTTTAAAACAAAAAACACAGCCTTGAGTTTACAAGAGCTTGAGTTTACAAGAGCTTACACAGCAGAGCTGTGAAGGACCAGACACTTTTCAGACCAGATTCATTCATAGGGTCACCATAAGCGATAAAACTTTCCAATATATACAGCTCTATCAGTTCCAGATGTTGCTGTAATCTATTTTCACATGTAACCACTGTCACTTTGCTCTAATCTTTAGTCTGCTCTAGTAAAAGTGTAACATCTTAAAATAATGCAGGTGAAGGACACCTTGTCTAGCCTAATTCATGGCTGGACGGTGGAATGGTTTCCTACATAGATCATCCAACAGAATCTGGATCATTCTCTGTTGTGTCTGGAAGTATTTTGCTGAACAATTTACAACAGAGTTAGCAGAGCAAATAACTCGAGATGATTCAGGGGAGCAATCCAGGCAAGTAATTCAGGCAGTTCACAACTACTCAGTGAGCTTCAGCTATGGTGCAAAAATGTAATAAACAGATAATTTAAGACAGGTGCTAGGCTAGAAGCATCAAAATCTTTGGGTCACTAGCCAAAAGGAGCTGGGAATAGCACTACTGACAAAAAGGGTTAGAAGGTTAAGAACATTTTTTATCTAAACTAAGGTATGTGAAGGGGTGCCACTTGGAGGTGGGTAGAGAGCTGTTTTCCCCTATGGAGGAGGGCAGGACATGCTGCAATGGAACAAAGCTCAGGGAACCAAGGATCAATTTGGATGCCAGGAAGTACCTCCTGACAGTTAGGACCCCAAGGGTATGCAATGGGCTTCCACGGGAAGTGGTTGAAGCCCCATTGGTAAGGGTGTTCAAGGATAGGCTGGGCATGTGCATGGTAGACTGGATGGCCCAGGAGGCCCCTTCTGACTTGCTCTGTTTCCATGTTTTTCCATGTTTTCTTTTCTAATATTAAAAGCAAAAGGAAAGCTCATCTTACAGAAATTTGCTTGGAAACATACTTTATAAACTATATGCCACAAAAATTCTCCAGCAAGGCAGCAAAGAAAACTGAGGGCAACAGACACCACAAGAATAGGGCTGCCAGGTCCTGATTTAAATAGGATTTTCTCTTACTTCAATAGCTGCATGG